TATTATGTTAATAAGCTGTTATTATAAAATGTGGCATACCTTTGGGCTGACATTATAAGAATTTGACAGACAACACATTAAAATAATAGTTCAATAACAAATAGCGCACATTAATCAACTTAATTATTATAATAGAACCCTTTTCGAACAGAACAACAATTCCACAAAAATCATATAAATCAAAACATCCAAAACAGGTTTCACCGACTTATTATAAAAAAACGATTTACAGAAAGAATCGGATATCTAATTAAACTGTTCGATTTTCCTAATACCTTGTTTACCTTTTTTTCGCAAGAAAAATTTTCCAGTAGTTGTATTTACTTTGCCCTGGAATAACTAATTAAATAATTATCATATACTCATGGTCAGCATGGAACCATTAAAAGTAAGAAAAATGCATTATACAGCTGACGTAGACAATGCTAATTCTAAATGGGTACTTTACAATAACAAGATTCCTGCCATAACTGCTGCTGAGGCGGATGCGCCAGTAGATACCCTGTAATTAACAAATAATTTTTTATCGGCTCGTTTCGATAAATATATTAGAGATAAGATAAGAAAAATGTAAGTTAATTTTTACAATAAGAAGATTCCTGCAATAGGTGCTGTTGAATCGGATGAGTAAGTAGATACCCTGTAGTAAACAAACTGTTTTGCCAATAGAGGTTTAATATATTAAAGATTAGGTAATAAGAAGGTAAGATAAACCATAGTTGCTGCTAAGGTAGATGGGCAAGTAGATACCCTAACTTATATTTTTTAAATATCGGCTCGTTTTGATATATTCAAGACAAGGATTGGAGAAGTTAAGATCAACTGGTTTGATATTACTTTATGATACCCTATTTAATCATTTTATTAGCTTCAATAACTTTCTATAGATTCCGTCAAACAGGGGGCTTACTTGTAATAAACACCATGACCAGGTCGACAACTATAAGAAAGGCTTATAAAACTACACACACAAGCTGCTGCCCTTTGATGGCCATGCCCGGCCTGACCTGAGCAGCGGCAATGTGGGTCATAAAATGGTGGCCAAGTGCGCGTTAACAAACTCGTTTTATTTATTGCACTTTTTGCACTCGTTGCTAGTCAATCACGCATTCAACTGCCAGACTCAGTTGCGTACTCACCCATCGTCTGTTCCTGCGCTTAATATAATTAACTCTGTCGGCGCCTCCCACATGTCCGTCACTTAATTATGCTTCAATTGGTATTTAATTATTGCACAATAGTGTTTGCGGTTTTTTGCTCACGTGCTACACCCTAATTGTTTATTAAGTTTCTTATTTATCAATTCATTTGCATTTTGAATACGAGCCGCGTTTAATATCGCCACGGGATGACATTTTTGTTTGACATGATCTCACGACTTTCCATTTTCGACTGTTGCACAGAGCGCTCCAGTTCAAATTCAGATTTCTTTGCCACAAGACATTCAGCTTAAGTGAATTGAACAGGAGCGGAGTGCGGTTAGAAACAAAAGTTAATACAACAGTTCGTTTATGTCTGCAAATTCTGTCAATAGAATATTAATTTAAGTAGATGGTTTTGAGATTTTGCTCACTCAATCGAGGCGCCCACAACCCGCGCTGCGCTCCTGAGCTGTATCATATTAAATATGCTTTAATTGAACTATGCGACTGACCTGCTGATATTCGCTACGAATGTATTTATGTGTGCGCACACAGATATGCTCAGTTATGTGTAGAGTATCGTTACGATAAGCGTACGGGCAATTATTTTATATTGAGTTGAATGTTTTAATTGGTTCTCAAAATAAACGTTTAGAGCTAATTTTACATCGCTGCTGGATTTGAAATGTTGTCAGCTCATTTGATGCCGATCAAACGTATCAGAGACATATCCCAAGTAAATAATAATTGATTTCTGACTCCCAATTAATTAATTATGTAAATTCAACCCTTTCCTTCGCCCTACCCCTCGCTTCAAATGTCAATCAAATCAAAATAAACAAACAAATGTAAACAATAATTTTATAAAAATGCAAATATTGCTTACATCTATGCAAATAGAACAGCAAAAAGAATGCAAAATCAAATTAAATTGTGCGGCAAAAAGGCAAATGCCTGATGCGCTTTGAATGCTGATGCAGCAGAAGGATGTAGAGGAGCAGCTGCTAGGATGTGGCTACCGTTCAGAAACAGACGCCAAGTGTCCATCAGAAATGCAGCCACTGGACATCCGATGTAAAATGAGCGCGATCAACTTTCCATTTACGGGATTAATTAAAAATGCTGCGCCTCAGGCCGCAGGCTTTCACTCCAATGTTGTGGCAGTCAGTTAATTAAAATCTAGCTTAAATCCTTTTAAATTTCCGTTTTAAACATTCTCGTATTTGATTTGCGTCAAATTTGAAAATTGCTATTGCATATTCATTTCATATTTCCTGTTCTCTTTCAAACAGCGCCCAACACGTGACCAAAACGAATTTTATTTTCATTCCCATTTCTATTGCTCCAGCTAATCGCATTTGGAATGCAGCTCTATTGCTCTATATATCTAATAAACTAGCGCACACATGACACATTGAGCCACCCTTTCGCTAATTTCGAGGCGCAACTAAACGAAGGGCATCCCCTAAATCAGTTCTGTTTTTATATTATGACTGTCCTTTGTCCTGGCTTCAATCTTTGCATACAATATATTTCAGCGCAATCTGTTGCCTAACTAAGCGTTACATTGATGCCTTTTTCTGGGGTGTGGTGCGGGTGCGTCATCTGGCACTCCACACACCCATTAGCTGCGACAACTAGTTATGAGATCTTATTTGCCGGACTGAATGTGGACAATGGATTTGGGTTGGAGGCGAAAGGCGATCAATCAGGCCTTTGGTTATCGAATATCCCTCATAATCTAGTCGAGTTATCATAGGAAGAAGGCAGGCCTTTCACTTGCATGAAAAGAATTTCCATTATTTAACTTCGATATGAGCTCTAATGTTAAGTGAGAATGTAATGTGTTCACGATCCTATATTATGTTTTTAGGCATAACAAAAACCTTGGGAAAAAATCGAAGAAATCTTGAAATCAAAGCGATTTTCTTAAGATTAACTTAACCAGATTAATTGAGTAAGGAAGAACAGCAGAACCTCAACCTGAAATGAAATTGTTTTCTTCATGAACCCAGCTCCGAGTTCTTTTGCGCCATTGAGATAACAAAATAAATCTTACTACGCTTAAATGGCGAATCTAAGACTAACTGAACCTCTTAAGGAACATACCATCAGATGCTTCTCAGTACCTTGCACAACCCATTCTGCTTAAATTGTCATAAATAACATTAACTTTTGACTAATTACTTACCACTACACACAGCTATGTTCATGTGTGACATTATAAAACACAACATAAATTTTCAACTTACTTACGCCTGACCAAGTAGAACTGGGAATAAGTGCTCGGGCTGTGGCACAGCACTTCACAATGCGGCCAATGCCCACAGAGCGTCACATAACTCAGGCAACACACAAAGCGGCAACAACGAACGATGGCAAACATAAAAATTAATTAAAGTCCTGCTTCTGCCTTTGCCCCTGCCCCGCTCTGCCGGCAAGTCAAGTAGCGGGCAATGTCTTCTTTTGCCTAAATTGTTCACACGTTGCCGGCGCGTCGCATGCAACATCTTGTGGCAACTTACGCCTTAAAGGCTGCAATAACAAGCGCCACGGTGACAGTGTCTGTCTAGCCAGACTCGATCCAACCCGGATCCTTGTGTCCTTTGTCGCTGTTGCTGCCTTTGCCTGCGCCTTGTTCCTGCCACATTTAGCAGCCGCGGCGTCAAGTGATGCGCCTTTTTATTTAACGCCCAAATTGCCGGAGCATTCAAAAGGTAACAACAGCAACCCTTAGCTGTGTTGTGTCTGTTGTTGTTGTTGTTAGAATTTGTTATTGTTTCGAGCTGTCAAATTTTGCTGTATGTTGCCGTTGTTGTTGCTGCCGCTGCTGTTGCTGTGATTTCGTGTAATTTTATTAATCACAACAACACATTCGTCTGCTCGCCTTAACCTACCCACTTCCCCCCCCCCCCCCCCCTGCCTGGTGCCTTCTTCTTGCCCATTAATGTGCGCATCCCTTTCAATTTGGGAATTCCTTTGGCCTGTCATTTAGCTTTGACTAATTATGCAATTTGTATGCAATCAAAATATTAATTATTAACAACTACTGGAACCGCAAGGTATATGTGTTATTTTTTGTATTATTATTAAAAATTATGCCATACACTTTTTCTCTTGTGTTTTCATTAAAGCTGCCGCATGCCTTGTTTATTTATTTGATACTCCACCTACATCCCTTCATTTAGTTGGTCAAGAGGTATGGGTGTGGCCCAAAAAAAAAATATGAATAGCGGCATGCAAATTTTCCGCTTGGTTTATTCGGCGCCTTCATGCGAACATCAATGCAAAAATCTGCGTTGCTGCATTACAAAAAAAAAGGAAAAACAATAAAATGAAACCCAAAAAATAAATATTGCAAAAAGTACCCTTCATATGTTTATTCATAGATCAGGCGCAGTATTAAAAACAAATTTCTTTTTTGTAAATGTTCATCAAGTTCTTTACAATTTAAAACAAAATTGCTTTGTTTTCAAAATTTGATTATTTAAAGCACTTTGCTAAAATTTAAAAGGTTTAAAGGTCCTGGATTACTAATTGACTCAAGCTCATGCCATAAACGCTTTTGTACATTTAAAATAATGCATTATTAATATTGCAGAAGCATGCCATAATTAAAAGTATTAAGCAGTTACTCATAAATCCCAATTATTGCATATGCCACTCAGCCGGGCATATTGACAACACCTTAAATATTATACGAGACCACTTCGGAAACCACAACCAAAACCACACACACCACACACGGGCCATAAATAAAAATACGAATTGCATTGTGTAATATTCATAAATTAAGCAATTAAATGGGCAATTATTTCCATATACAAGCGGCTGTTTACAGTCCACTTTTGACAAGTTTTACACATATACATGTAGACAAAAAATAAAAGTGTAATCGAAAAAAATGAAATCAAATTAAATTTTCATGGAGTGAAGTCATGAACTTGCCGCAGTTAACAGAAAACTTTTATGAAAATGCAAATGCGAGAAGAAAGAAAGAAAGAAAACTTTGGCGCCGCTCGCAACTAAAAATCGCTTCATTCTAATTACTTCCGTTTGGACAGAGGATCAGGGAGCTGCAGCTGGGAGCGCGCGAGCCGCAGAAGGACTTCCTGCCAGCGTGGCAGGACACGTCCAGTTTAAGTAGTGAGCTGCGCTCTGTGAGCCGCCGCCGGCGGGGCACATAAAACAATCGTTTCGTAATAAAGATGAAAATTTTATTAAAAGATGTCGGAAACAGATGTCGCCGCCAAGCCGAGTAGAACCGCCCGCCCAGCCCTCATTCAAGCACACACTGCCCGGCAGCCTGTGCCATAGCCAAAAGAATCCAGTGAATCCACTGAATCCGGCCAACCAACACACACTTTATAATCTTTTATCGCATTTTTTCTACTTGGTTGACACAAAGAGCGTATTTATGCGACTGTTAACGTTATGAAAAGCCCATAATTTGCCAGCCACCCTACGTATTTGCCATATAATAAAAATAATAAACGTTATGCTGAAAATCGATAGCAAACAGAATTCGCATTCATTTCATGGCAAGCCAGGGACGCGGGCGGGTGCAGGTTAGCGCGGGGGGGATTGGCGGGCGTGTAGCAGCTGATATCGACAGTTGACTTGGCGGCGGTCGTCCTCATGGCTCATGAACTGTGCTGCTCCGTGTTCTGCTCTTCTATATATCGTACCCATCGAGTGTCGTGTATAAATGTTTGCTCTTTATTATATTGCCCATCCACGCCCACAGCGAAACATATATGTGCTCCTCCTCTGCCCAGCTCCGGCTGCCAGCCTGTCTGCGACACCCGCGTGCAGCATCTTGTGACATTTAACCTTCTTTTTCGCTCTGCATGCAATCGGCATCCATTGTAGTCGTTCCCATGCCGATACACACGATACGATACGAGTACACGATATAATGATATCCATATAATGATGCGGCTGTCAATTCCATTCCATTGGCATCTTTACCCAATCCCTCTTGCCTGCTACTGTAGTGGCTTCTTATCGCCCGCCGCCCTTTGATAATCTCCGAGTTGACAAAGTCTTTGAGCCGGCTTGAAAGATGGAAATGCCATCGCTGTTGCTTACCTGGAAAAAGATGAAAAGCTCTAGGCAAACTTTTTATAAATACATTAATGGAATAAAATGTCTTAAAATTTCAAAGGTTTTTTAATAAATCGAGTTTGTAAGTTTAATTTAGGTCCAATAGATAAATTTTTTTGGTTATGACAAGGCTTTGCGAGCTGAAAATATGAAATTGACATTTGCCTTTACATTTAGGAGAATATATATTTAATTTGCAAGCCAAGATTTAAAATGTTTTCGTCTTAATATAATAATGAAATTAAAATGGGAATTATAAAGGTATTTATAAAACTTACTTGAATTCACGAGACTCACATAAAACGGCAATATTTTTGATACTGCTGATGTGTGAAATAAACCAACTTCCTTTTAAGAAACTTTTTAAAATGAACAAAATATTTGAGCTCAAACTAGAAAACTTATACTAAAGTTCGACCTAAAACTTGTGCTAGAAAATGTCTAGAAAACCTGACTTAGGAACCGATTCTAAAGCCGAGTTATTGACTTTTGCAGCCGCGATGCTCCACAATTTATAAAACCTACTGTTAATCAAAGCCTTTTAAAGCCTATATAGTCTGACGATCCACGCAATTAAAATGGCAACAAAGGCCTGCACAGGCACGCAAAATCGCCTTCACAAAGGCTCACAAACAATATTTAAATGGAGCACACAACTGAAATGATTTGCATATTTCCAATTCAGCAAACACTTTGGCAGCCAACAAAATACACATAAACTCGGATAGGCGCCGAATAAAACAATTAAAAGTTTGTCTTTAACACTTACCCGACCGTGGTTTGGGGTTCACTGAACCCCATGATGCCCAGCACGCCAAACGGCAACTGAATTGTGACCCCTTTCAGTTGTCAAGGAGCGCGACAGGAGCAATTGCTGCACATTCAGCCCACTTATCAAATAATTGTCCTTATATTATGGCAGCCAACAAAGAGATTCACATGCACACGCACACACTCACACACATATGGAGCTCGGCATTCGCAGTGACAACTGGCAGAGCACCAAATTGTGGAAAATTGAAATCATCTGCTTAAGCGCAATCTCGCAGCCCCACAAAACGAAAGCCACACACATAGTCAAGTAGAAGCCGTCGCATAGCTTTGGTGCCAAATAAAAATGTAAGGACACACACAGAATTACACGCACACACACACACACACACACGCGGAGAGAGACACACAGAGACACATACGGGGCACATGGTGGAAATCCTTTGCATAAATGATGATGGCTTGGCATGATGAGAACTTTTAATCATTATTATCACATATTTATACGCTTATATGAGCATGTTTTATGTACTCGCTGGCAGCGGCAGGATGCGGAGTAATCCTTTTGAAAGCAAAAACCCACAAATGGCAGCGCAAAAAGGCTGGCAAAACAATGCCAGGATAATACACACACAAGAACATACACACACACACACACACACATACACACACACACACACTTATAGCACTTACATATATGTCGCTGCTTTGTTAGCCTTATTCTTATTGTTGGCGCTGAGAGTGCTCCTCGCTGTTGATGATGAGTTTCCAATTCGAGTGAGACCACGCCCACAAAGCATAGCAGGGGCACAAGGACGACCACTTGCACTTTTCGTTTGCTGCTCAGCAAAGCCACAACAAGGGTTGCTTTTCTCTATGTCTCTCTGTGCGTGTTTGTGTGTGTGAGTACTAGGCTTGTGCATGTATTGTACAATAGAGTAGCGCACACATAAAAGTCAAAAGGACAAGCAAAGCCAGTTTCCTAGCTTATATAAACCCAGCAGACGCAGCGCAGGAATCCTGTCACTTGGCCAACTCAGCTCTATGTACTTGCCGTATAACCCTGCAATGCCGTAGTTGTTGTCGCCTCTCCCCGTTTAGTAAATAAGTCATCATTGTCGATTGTCGTCATCAACGCGCCGAGGACAACTAATTTGCGGTCATAATAAAAGTTAATCTACTGACTCCTGGCGCTTGTTTCCCAAACGTTGTCCCTGCTGCAACAAATTGCGTGTGGACACGGACAACTTCTGGCCAAGTTGTTTTGGCTAAGTGAATCAGCATATTTCATGCGGCTAACTTGCACTGGCTCTAGCTGTGGCTTATATTAACAATTTAGTAAATAACAGTACTTCGAATAGCGTATATTTTATGACATTGAATTAATTGGAAAACTAAAAATTAAAATATTCCTAAGATAAACTATGGGTAAGTAATCCCAACTATGGATTACTTGTATATAAGAAATATATCACACTTGGAGAAATTGCCAAAAAATTCTCAATAAAAAAACCGAATTGAAAAACTTACATTTCATAAATTCTAAATTTGATTTTAATTTAATTCGATCAAATTTAAATTTTTTGTCAGTATGCAAAGGTTTATTTAGCAAAATTTTAGGAGCCATAAGGCTGTTTTTACTTTACATTTATATCCTTCTTTATAGATATACTTCAAACGAATTTATAAAATACAAAACTTTAGAGAAAGAAAGAAAGAAATCCTGCTCCTGCTCCCAATCATTGGATGTATCAATAGATGATAGATGCCAAGTTTGGGTAAAGAACAAATATAGCCCGCATATTGTATATGAAAATATGTAAGGCTTGCAATATTTTCAGTACAACGGGCATGTGTTAACAATAAATGAATTCTTTTAAATTTTGAAAATTATGAAAAGATTTTAAACAAAATCCGTCTATAATGTTTAACGATGTCAACCTCAAGGCAGAGAGTTGGTTCGAATCGTGATCCGAAACGTAGACAATTTTTTTACATATCAAATCTTTTTTATAGAATAAAGATATTGTCATATATATAACTACTCGAACTTTTTTATATTTATTTACAGTAGTAAATAGTCAATAAAAAATGAATTTACATACCTGCTTACTTAGCACGTTTAGCCCATATCCAACCCACTGTGCGCACAGTGTGCTCAGGTTGTCGGCGTACAGCAAAGGATCAACCGAAGAGAGCATAACCAGGACAGCAGCAACAAAATGGAGGCAAGACATAAAAAAAACAGAAGAGCAGTTCAAGGCAGGCAACAAAACAAGAAAATTAAATTTTTATTGTTTTCACACAAATAAAATCAAATAAAAAGCGTACAACAATAAGGGAACAGAAGAGCCAGTCAGGCAGTCGGCGAGCCGGGCCAAGGCGCCACAGGACACAAAAGCACATACAAAGAGAGCCAAGAGTGGATATAGGCATGTATGTACATAAGGAGGCCGTCACGTGCCACATAAACGAGCAGCGAGCAGCGCGAAGCGAGAAGCGAACAGCGAGCCACGAGCAGCGACTGGGCAGGAGAAACAGACCAACCACCGTAGAGCAACCCCTAAATTGTGGCGGAGCAGCCACGCCAGGCAGGAGCAGCAGCCGGAGCCAGACTCTGTTGGTGCTGTCAGTCAGTACGAATCGAGCAGTCGACGGTTACGCGGCGCGCACAGCACTGGCCAAGCATATATAGACACTATATTTATATTGAGAGTAGATATTGTCCGTTTTGAGCAAAACGGCACGTGATGTCGACGGCGTTTCTCGTGGACAGCCTACTGCATGCACAGCGCGCCCAGAGCTACAGTGATAGCCAAATAAAGTCGAGCCTCAGCGAGATGCTCCTGAGCCGTGGCCAGGGCGAGCCAGCGCCGGAGGAGTGCAAGTGCAACTGTGCCAAACGTGGCTATAAATGTGATAAGTGCCGTGAGCTTCGCGAGATTCGTGCGGAAAGTGTTGACAGCATCGAGGAAATGGAAATGGACGATGACGAGGACGAAGAGGACGAGGATGAGATTGTCGCTGACATTGACAGCGTTGAGGCGCCGCACCTGGACGAGGAGGAGCTGTTGGACGATGAGCTGGATTTGCAGCCACAACGTGAGGCAATCAAATTGCCCAAGGTGGAGCCCAAGGAGGCCAACAACAGCTCCAACAGCAGCACCACCACCATCCTCAAGGATAACAACAGCAAGCCCATACTCAAGTTCAGCGTATCCGCCATCCTGGGCGACACACGCGAAGGAGTGCGCGTGAGAAACGGTAAGGGGGGCGCATACACATACCGCGGGGTAACGGGGCAATAAATGCGGCTCGACAATTAATTTGCCGTGGCTAATACCAAACAACAACAAAGAACTACGAAAATCTAAATACAATTCCAATATGAAAAGCCAAAAGAATAACAATTTTGGCATAACTATAAAAAAGAGCAGGAGAAAAGTTCCTCACCGAGGGTCGCCTCAATTTCGGATCAGTTTTTTTTTTTTTTTGTATCTATCTGTTTTATTGTGCTCCTTAAGCCCTTGAGGCGGCCTTGCACGGCTGTAAAAACACAACCAGACCTAATCATGTTTAAATTATTGTATCTGAGCCTCGGCAAATCCGTCGGCAGCCGTCACCAGAACCAAATGCGCATAA